TGGAAAACGCGATACGTCGAAGTTATGCGAGTAGTGACATTTCATTTCCAACAATTTCCGAAGTCAAGGATACCGATGAAAAATAGCGTGAGCTCCTACCGATGTTGCGAGTGTCCCTTTGCAAAGGAGCAGCCGCGCATTTTGGGGCATTTGCACTCATTGAAAGGACACCCAGCCAATGTACGAAGAAAAAAAGTGCAGACCGCCCTATTGAAAATTCCATCAAGATAGGTAATTTGGGACACTGACTGCCAGTCAGCAGCCTTGGTGGAACGTGCCCTGATGGTCCATCAGAGGACGTCTGACTGCTACTGCCAAGGGAATTTCATCAACAAGGGCAGCATTTATGTAAAAGTAAAGCTATAAGCACTCACAAATATCGCCAAATGCCTCGAAACAACAAAATGTTCGAGAAAAGAAAAGAAGAAAAAAAAGGAGGTCGACCTCAGATCGAACCCGCTTTTACCTGCGTACAAAGCGGACACCTTAACTCCTATGCGATGCTATCGCTTAGGAAACTCGATTTGACCATTTGTTGTATACGAGATACTTCAGCTGCAAATGCAGTTAAGCCTTCAGCATATTATGCAAAGCACTCGTACATCACTCGTCGTACTTCAGTTCTACTCACCTGCCATGTAGAGTACTTTCGCGTCGTAGAACGATCCTTCTGTTCGCGTGTCTCCGGCCCAGTAGACCCGGTACACCTTGTCATCTTCAACTACACCGCTAAAGTCCCTTACATCGTCGGAACTCACAACAGGCTGGGTCTTGTCGAGTAGAAATTTTACTAAAACATAAGACATTGTACAGCCCGGGCAGGATCGACAGATTGAAACAAACGGGCAAAAAAAAAAAAAAAAAAAACGAGTCGAGAGCGATCCTTCATGGAAGCTCGGAGAAGCCTCTATGGGCGAAGCGAAATTGGCGTGTTCGGCGTTTCGGCGGGCTTCTGATCAAGGTTGTCGGTCGGTTGCGCATCATATCTCTAACATCAGCAGTTTTATGGGCTCACGTACCGAAATCGTTTTCTCAAGCATAGATTATTTTTCGTATTCATAGATTAGACGAAATAGTGGTATCCGAACGAACTTTACGTCCTTTGACCGTACGTCTGTCTGCACGTCAAAGCTTTTTGACGTACAGTCAGAGACAATCGATGTACAGTCAGAATCGCCACCAAGACATCTTGATGGCATTTCGCGGTGGCCGACTGCCACCAGGAAACCATCAGAAAGCCGACAAGTGTAGTCTGACTGGATTGTGACTGTCGGTCAGTGTAACTTCCCTACCGAAAAATCCGGTATAACTTTTCGCTATCCGGATTATGGAACCGGAAATCTCTCTGGATTCTATCTGGACTTTATCTGGAATTTAGGTTTTCAGAAATTATTCCTTTGTCTGCAATCTGGATTTCGGGTTTCCAGTAACAATTTTCCGGTTCCATATTCCGGATAGGGTTGTTGGATTTTTCGGTAGGGTTGTTGGCCAATCAGACATGCTTGACGTACAGTCAGGCACAGTGAGCGGTCCACTAGAAAACATTGACTGCCAAACAGGGTTACATTGATGGACTTTTCATTCGGGCCTCTTTAGCGTACGTCTGCTTCCAAAGAGGACGGATATAAAAAATGGGCTTTAAAAGTCTGCTCCAGTACACGTCGTGGAACAACCAGAACGCGAAAAGCCTCCGCGCAGCAAAGCAGAAATCTATGGCATGTGGACATTAGACGCTCCTAAGAAAACATTTCATTATTGGATGAGCTGGAGCTTCAAGGAAAACCAACAAAAATGAGCCTCGACAAAAGAGGAATATTCCAATATTCGAGAAAAAAAGTTCCATAATTCTTTTTTTATTTTTCTCTTAAATGTTTTAAGGTTCAAATGAGAACCAGGCAGCTGAAGCCTGTTTTCTGAAAAGCATCTGTATATATAAAGTACAATCATCACTTCTTTTGAGCTCCTGTTAATAGTAGCCGAAGGCAATGCTGCTACGCTTGCTGAACGGGATTGAACAGACGAGTGGAACATCAGCGTTAAAAATGTCTCATCCGACAATGATGTTCAATTGCTCATAAATGAGCGCACCGCCTAGGTATCTGATGAACCACGAACATTTTAAAAAGTTTCGGTGAAACTAACAACCCAAAAGGAAAAAAAAACAGCGAATTATCAAGGCAGAAAGTGTTCCTACCGTTTTACTTGACAAAATACCTGGAAAACTGCAAAGACTACAGCGAGGGTGTGCCCTGGAGCGGGTAACGTCCTCCGACTAGTCAGCACCGATCGTCAAAGTATTTCATAAGGATTATCGCATTTGCATTTTCGAAGGCTGCAAGGTGTCTGTCAACCTTGATGCAGTCCAGAACCAATACCGAATTTCCCAGATTGAGGAGTTGTGGACGAAGCTGTCTGGTGTACGGCCAGATTCACCGAGATTGACCTAAAGAACAACCATCATCAATTCGTCGCCAATACAGCGCCAAACAAAATGCACCAAGATCGACACGGCAAAGGACTTTTCGAGTACACAAGGTTTTCATCGATGAATTCTCCGGCCCCAACAATCTTGTAGAGGAAGATGGAAACCCAACTCCAAGGTTCCAAGCATGTCGTAGTCTATTTCACTTACATTCTGATGATGGCCGGGTACGGATGACAATAATGTCTGTGCCATGAGATGGTTTTTGATAATGGTACTGCATTTATATGTGCGCGAATCCTCAAGTTTTGTTGAGTAAATCACACCAGGAGCACCAATGTATCAGAATATCATTCAGCATCAAAAATAGGAATTAAGGCAAGAGTTCAGCTGGTAAAGCACAAGTTGAAAAGGACCATATCTGGAGAATTTATGACCAAGATAGCCAGGCTGCTGTTTGTGTTCTTGACGACCCCTCATAATCTGACAGGTTCTTGTCCAGCTGAATGCTGCCAAAGCGTCACTAAGATCTCTGTTCGGACTTTTGGAACAATTTTATTGTGAAGCAGTTGAAATTGAAGCTAGTCCAAGCCAAAGACGCACGTTATTCTGAAGTTGCAAGGCCTAGACAGCTCATTGTAGAGAACTTCAGGCCAGGTCAGTTTTGGGTACTAGCAACTGTTGTCACACCCACAAGTTCATCTTCTGTCGAAGTACACCTGGAAGACTGAATCAATTGGCACTGGCACGGCAATCGTATCAGGCCCTGATGGCCGAGTACCGCGATACCCCAACTGAATAGTCTAAAAGAAATTTAATCCCAGCGTTTCTTGAGATACGGTCAACTCACGCAGAGAGAATGGTGCCAGTAAATGAAACACCAGTTGCTCTACAACCATTACCACAAGCAGTGGGTTCACAAGCAATCGTCGAGCCACCTCAGGTCACCACGGCTTCCCCAACTTTGCATAGGTGCATGCGGACTAGAAAGCCAGAGCATTGTGACTTTCTCTTTGAAACCCAAATCGGGGAAGATGAGTGTTCCGATGGCTAGCTGAACGCCCTCGCCGTATTTGCCTTAATTGCATATAAGAATAAAAGATTGGTTGAGCACGGGCTCTCACGCACTCTAGAACGGAAACCTTCTCGTGAGCGCGGTTGCACGCCATGGTGCCATAAAAACCAGTGGGCGAATAAGGACGATTTCATGTATTCCTCTCATGCTGCATCATTTCATGGCGTTTTTCGGAAATGGGTTGGAATCTTCTGCACACTTGCGTCGGTGCGAAGCGATGCCGCTGAGGCGCATCTCTCTTATCTTCTTCCATCTTGGGCATGATCTTGCAAGGCACACGGCCGCAGGATGTATGCGAGCTCATCGGGAACGCAATAAATTATTATTTATTTATACCCATATATAATGTCGAAAGCAACAGGAAGAGCCTTTACCGTAGGCCGCTTAGACAAACGCGGATAGATGTAAGTCCTATCACACATATCCCGGTTTGAAGTCTTTGCCAGCGTGATCAAGCTTATATAAATTTTTCACAAGAAACGTGGCGGAAGACGTGGAGTTACTCACGCATTCATGCGCGCGCAATCAAGAAGTCACTTACTTAGCCGCAATAAAGCACTGGATATATTTTAATAAGATTCAAAGTACCGTACTTCAGACGGAAATCGCGTCTACGCCAATGTAGTGTGTCGCGGCGGCACGGTGACGCAATCCAGTTTAGACTAACCGGAGCGTGCTCACAAACGGCTGTGAGTCTGCGGCAGCCACAGCAGACGAATAGGACCTCATAAGCCGAAATACGGCGCCTCGGCTGCACCTATAGGATTGCCCGCGGCACGATAAAACGATGGCGCTACTTGGATAACTCAGGATATACAAAGCTTTAAGCCACGATTGCCTTGCGCGCCATCTGTATTGATTATGCGCGTCCACCCCTCCTAAAGCCTGCAGCTGTTTGTGGGCACAATAAATATAATTGATTAATATATTGATAGATATAATGATTTATTGATGTATTCCAGTATTTATAAAAGGGGAACAATGATTTCCCACACACTCAAATGTCTAATTTAAACATATCGTGTGATTCAGTTTACGATAATTAGATTTTACAACCTGATGTTTCAGAAAGATAAATTTAAAAAAAAGGCAACTCTTGAGCCAAGTATGAGGAAATTTATAAAAACACAGGTGTGTTCGAAGTCATGGTGTTGTTTTAAAGTAAAGCCAGTTCCACCAAGACATTTTGGCAATTTTTTGTATTGCGAATATCTTTTTTTTTTTCTGAAAATATTTAACACACTTGTATATACTACCTTCCTCCTATAACCTCGAAAATAGCTGACCCTGTAGGACAGGAAGTTATTTGGTTGTCACTTATAGTGACTATATAAATTGTATAAATAGAACTATACCGTTACTTTTTTTTTCTTAAAATATTTGGAAGACAAGAACAAACGAATATTTCGTACAGGAAATAGAAGCAGTACCAGGAGATGCAATTCCCAGTATCTCGTGCTTATAGCAGCAGTAAACACAATTCAGTGCCCAAGATTTTTTTATTTACTGAGGTTTCAGGGAATCGTTATCAATTGTCGGAAAGTATTCTCTTCCGTGGCAAAATCCACTCAAGCAGATGCCGAGCCCGCCTTTTTTTAACTAAAAGAGAAGAGACATGTTTCGGTGAACATTTGGTTTCTTAATCAAATGTAACAAATTGGTTGATAAAGAACTAAATAACGTTTAACACGACACTTTTGTGCGGCACAAGCCATAACTGAACATAAGTTTCTTTGCATTTTTTGCTAAATAAATAATTAAATGTGTGACATAAAAATATATCTTAAAAGATAGGTCATCCACTTCAACAAATCATAATATTAATTTGCAGTTTTTACTACAATACATAAATTATGAATAAAGCACTAGCAAATATTTATTTGCATGGTAATATTTCACAGAAAAAAATATTATCTCCCCAAATTTTGTCTTATATTGTATAAACTCTTCATTAATAAATTATTTACTCTTATGTCGTAGACCTTTTGCAATAAAAGGGCAAATAGTAGCCGAGGAACAGCCATTTCACATGTTTACATTAACAAAGAAAAAAACATACATCAACTACGTATTATCACAATAAACACACAGTTCATTGGTGGTTCTGGAGCTTTTCACAATAAGGTATGCATGTTTCAAAAGTATATATTTGTCTAAGTGATGATCACTGATTTCTATATTAATTTGTTGGACCGTGCATCCCCGCTTTGTCGCAGCAGCTCGAATGCGGCCAACGGAGGGAAGAGGAGGATATAAGAGCATGCGAGGATTTTAGAAGCACAAAACTCTAATCCGAAAGATTATTGAATGCACGCAAAGCTAGTTCTTAGATTGTTGGGACTGGGGTGTACTACAGTGTTATCTGAAGGACTTTCCTTAAACTGCGCATGAGGTACGCTTTCTGCCCGTTGACTCAGGAGACACTCTACCATATAATATTATTATGTTGGTTGGATTACACTGTATCTGGAAGAGCCGTAGGGGAGCGCGGCATGCCAGTGTAATGTACAACCTGCAAGCCGGCTGTTTCTTGCAGTATGATACATATTCGAGAGGGGTATCAGGCTCTGGGAGATGTCCCAGATTGGTTTCCTGTCCTCGACGGGCTGGTTGCTTTAAGATCCTTCTAGCCAATCAGTGTTGGCCGTAACTCGGCTTGTGTGTTAGCAAAATGTTAGCCTGCATGGCTATTTTCTGCACTGAAAGCAATGTGGCAATAAATAAGAAAGGACGTAAAGCTAGCTTTCTTTGCCTTTGTTGTTCTAACGCGTGAAAACGCGGAAGGCCGGCGTGGGACACTGCGCGTTCACGTCCGCAACAATTCCTTTGGTGCCAACCGTCTGCCCTACCCCTTTTTCATATAAAAATAAAAAAGGAAAAAATTTAATGCGAAATAAGCTAAAAAGAAAAACTTTCCCGGCGCAGTCATTGAGTTTCGGTTGCAAAATTGTAGGGCCGTCGGTTCGATTCCTTTCGTGGGGCGTTTAGGATTTTGTTCTTTCTTATCCAACAATTACCAGTTCTCAATTATGTTTTGTTTCGTACAGATTGTCATCTTAAAAACGAGTTACGCATTTCTTCGCGGTTTTCGTGGTGTTCCGTTACACTCTCTAAACACATTATGGATATAAACCAAGTAACCGCCAATGACTCTTCAGCGCTCCTTTCGGGCTACAAGTTTTTACATTTCAACTTCAGCGGTGTAACGTCACTAACAATTATTACACAGATGTGCAACTTGCGACATCTCTAAATCTCTAAAAAAAAATTCCCGTCACCTTCTACGTTATCACTTAAATAAATGAATGAATCAAGGAAGAGTCGGATTTGGGAAGGCGGACGTGGATACTTTACGGGCTCTTCCTCCCGCTATAATTTTAGAATTTTGTTTTCGCAATGAACGTTTGTTGGCGATAATGTCACGAGCTTCTGCGTATATTTGTTTATGTTTAGTCACCATTATTTTACTGCCTAAATATTCCTTACAATGTATTAAGCGACCATTGCTCATGAAGTGTGGATAGATTTGGTGTCGTAAATACGGTCAAACCTTCAGTCTAGTTACACGCCTACACGCCAGCATGATATCGTGATCTCTCGTTGTAAACAGTCACATTCAATCGGAACGCAGTCAGCCACAATTAAACGCAAATATGTAGACCAGCTTTTATCTAGCTTAGCCTTAACCAAATCTATATTATATTTGAAACAATGCAACTGGGCCCTTACTGGTAACTGTTTAATAGTACTCACTTTGCATGTGCTGCGATCCTGGTAAACTCCGTAGGAATATCCGTAGCCATCTGTCTTGCAAATATACAGGCAGTTTTCCACAGTATCGTTCTGAAGAAGGCATGTTACAAAGCGCCATGACTCACTCTTTATAAAACAGCAATAACATTTCCCTCCTAACATCAATGGGAGAAATATACGGGGAGTTTCAGGTAAATAACGCAAATAAATAAAAGTAGCTTCTGCACGCTACATATGTCGAAACAACCCAGTATTTTTTACAGTGCTATTGAGCGAGTCATGAAACTTTTGTAATAAACACAAGAGGCTAATTAAGAAACAGTAAATAGCTAACTTTTAAACATTACTTTTTGTACACACACCATCTAATACAGAAGTTGTAAAGCGCGTTAAAATAATCAACTAGCGTCGTTTTTACTGAAGGTCGTATTGTGTCTAATGGTTTTAAACATAAAAATATGGCGAGATCTAAAAACAAATTGCATTACCGCGTGGGACTTTTTTAAGTATCGCGCGAGAATTACGAGGTTTAAGAAAACCTCAAAACTAACTAAAATGACACAATATGTTTCTAAATACGCTCCACATACTTTGCATTGGACAGTCTGCGCACAAATTTCTGTTTTAAAAAGTGACGTAGTTAATTTATTTTAAGTAGGCACTTAGGCACATCGCCAAAATGTCTGGGCTCGCGTAACAAGTCTGTGAACATTTCTGCATTGGTTCGACACGCGTAGCGTGCATCAACTATTTTGATACGTTGCCACAAATTAACTCAAACACACTACTTATGGTTTCTATGAAAGAGGATTTAACAAAACCATACACTTAGATTTATAGCTCAATATTGAGTTGCCTGTTCACTGTAGGATATTGCGTTTGCTTGCCAATGAGGTGTAGTGCCTATATAACCAAATATGAAAATTGGGGAAGAAAGCTAAACAATAACATCATTTCTACTGTACGTCTGGCTTGAATTACTTTTCATAATTATATTTATTTGTTTCGAAACTCACGCTTGAAATGGTGTCGCAATTATGAAACTGGCCTTGCAGCTCAGGAAGTTGGCTCCATACTTGTTGAATATTATCTGTCGTAATGGAAATGTATGAAACATTAGTTTTGCGCGGTATTAGATATGGCTAAAGACGAGCCCTTCGAACGTGTAGTTTATAACAAATTAATTAGAAAAGAGGTAAAAACGGTATGTTGGAGGGACTCGGGAACTGAAACATATAGGTGGATCGTTAATGGATATTATTCTCAGTTTATAAACGTCGCTTGTTCCTTTAAATAGTTGGGCTAGTAAAACACTGTCTAAGAGGTGTTTTGCTTTGAAAATAACTCTATATCCTTAAAATTAACTTTCAGTCTTTTATGATCCAGTTGAAATGGCAATGTTTTCTCGAGGAGAAAATTCTAGGTACAAATAAAAACAATTTAAGAACGGAATATGATTTTGTTTTATGTAGTTTGAGAACCAAACTTGAAGGGTGTTGTTTGTATACGATTTAATAGTTGAATGGTTGTGTGTGGAACGTTACACAAATTGGTTACGAAACTTCCGCTGTCGGGGATAATGTAGACATTCAGCAATAACAACTACGTAAAAAAAAAAAAAAAACCGCTGCCAATGTATCTTTCGAACGGCTGCCGCATTGCGGTTTTACGAAATAAAACACCATCTGCTCCACTGGCACTCCACTGCATCTTTCTGCGCCACGCCTACTTGATTGTGGCACACCGTCAGTTAAGTGATTCCTACAAAACTATCATGTTCGATGCTCTACCCATCGCCTGATAAATGGACTAAAATTTGAGTTCCGATAATTCCGCTCAAGAAAAACGTTGTTGGTGAGTAAATGATTCAATACCACGCAATCTTCTCATAATATTTAGTTTGCGGGTCTTCGCGGATAAGAGACTTATAAGGTAACTTATAAGGTTCCTCATATAGCAATAGCTAGCTCAATTAGGAATTAGTTCAATTAGGAAGTTTACATCAGATCAATTAGGAAGTTTACACAAAAACTCGGATCGAAAACTGTTAACGAGTGCCTTCTTGAGGCATTGGCGATGCAGCATGTTAGATGGGTAACAATACTTGGCAAAGAGCTAAGTGCAATACAAATCATTATTAAAATCGCTAATTGTGTTATTCTCGACATTTTAAATATAAAAATTAAATGCAAGTCTTCTTACATTCATTATATTGAACGCATTTTCCGTTTTTGCAAGTCCCAATGTGTGTGACCTATACCCGCATGATGCACTACTGCAGCTTGTGAACCACTATCATCTTGATGACGCTATGACACTCTATGACGCTTTATAACCGTGATTGTGTTACATCAGGCTTAACTGGAGTTCGGTTGACGCACTGAAAAAAGTCTCTGACATGATTTTTCTCACTTTCCCGAAGGTACATATCATGAGCATATCTGAACAAATAATCTTCTGGGACCAATGTTGCGTGAATTGTTACGCGCTACACCTTAACTTTGTATTGTTGTGGAACACAGTTGTGAACGTCCAAGTGACCTTCGGGGAGGTGCTTATATATATTACCCTTCTCAAATATCAAATACTTTTTGGGGGGTAACCTTTGCCTAGAATGCTCTACACTAACAGGTCAAAGTTCCGTCCGAAGGAACGACAACGAGAGCTAAGGGGGAGATAACACTGGAGCCACCAGTGTTGCTTGTCGGTCTTTTCCTTTCTTTTTTTCTTCATTCTTCATTCAGAAGTTACCACGCACTGCACGAAGGCCTTAGTTCAGGAGAGTTACAAACGTGATTCTTTTCTTTTCTGGTGCTTCAGTTGCAGAGCACATTTGCTAGTCCAAGCAATTGCGTTTTGCAAGCGCCAGTGTTGCCCTATACTAGTGGAACCAGATGACCGTATGTACACCCGTCGGCAATATGAAGGTGAATACCTTACCTGGATTCTTGCCTGTTTTACGGCTCGCTAAAGCTATATTAACTCTCAAGGTCTCAAATGGTACGTGACTTGGAGGTCTAAACTTTGCTTTCTAGCCCCCTTCTGGAACAGAGCTCGTTCCAAAACTTGCAGGAGCGTCAAAAACAAGAAGAGGGCTGTTCACCTTCACATCGTTCACGAGTGTACGTGCCTGGTGGCCGGTCACAGCCCCGCACAAGCGCTTCTGCCCTCCTTACCCGCTCGATGGCTCCGTGTATGTTGATGCTTCTCAAACTTTACGGTGACAGCGGAGAGAAAGAATCCCACACCAGATACTCAGAAAAACAAGCACACGGGGTGAACTTACAACTCTCGTGTATTCGACTACTTCGTTCTTCTTTTCAACGTCTCGATTGACTTTTCAGAACGTGATATGCAGAAGAAATAGCACAATATACAAGAAAAAAAGGCGAAAGACAGGACGAAAGAAAAAAGAAGAGAAAAGCAAAAAAAAAAAAAAAAAAGAAAGCAAAAGGAGAAAAGGAAATCCTTTTCCTTTTTTGCATGTTTATTTTAACGTTTATTTCTCTTTTCTTATTTTCTTTTCCTTTGTCTTGTCTTTCGCCTTTTTGTATTTAGCGCTATTTCGTCCGCTTATCACGTTCTGGAAAGTCAATCCAGACGTTTAAGAGAAGAACAAAGTAGTTGAATACACGAAATTTGTAAGTTCAGCGCGTGTGCTTGTCTTTCTGAGTAACTGGTGAGTGATTGTTTCTCTGCGTTGCACCGTAGAGTATGATTCACTAACTGGCCCAAACATCCATCCTCCACAATGTTTTGCACCTCGTCTCGTCAAATTAAATAAAGTTTTTGTTTCTAAGCTAAAATCATCGCTTCCTATCCCTCCTCCGTATCGAACACGCAGCAGAGCATTCCAACTAATAGTATAGCAGAAGTTGTCAGGGTATATAAAGCACTCAACATCGTGCCTCAGGACGATGTATTTTGTGTTGTTCATTTCTATTATGCTACGTTTTTTGGCTGATTGTGCTACACCTCGCCTAGGTCTCCAATCTAATCAACCCTCCAATGGTAGGGCATGTTATAGATTTTTCAGGCCAGATAAAGTGTGCAAATATGACTGCATGAAGGAGGCTTACACAAAAACTCTGATCAAAAACTGTTAACGAATCCCTGCTTGAGGTATTGGCGATGCGGCATTTTAGATTGGTAACAATACTTGGCAAAGAACTAAGTGCAAAACAAATTATCATTAAAACCGCTAATTGTGTTATTCTCGACATTTTAAATATAAAAATTAAATGCAAAGTCTTCTTACCTTCACCGTATTGAACGCATTTTCCGTTTTTGCAAGTCCCAATGTGTGTGAACTCTGTACTGTTATCATTTGTAGGAGCCTGCAGTGAAAACGTTGTCTCTTAAATTCACATACCGCAACAATATTGATTCATATAGTAAAAATATACATTCTAAAATGCCAAACTTCCGGGTTTTAATTTGTACGGCAACACACATGTATCAGAAAACCAGGGTAATTCGAATATGTTATAATATAACGCGGCCCCTTTGTATACAGGAATAGCGTCTTGCGGGTAGGAAACACGGCTGCTGAAATACGTCTAGGCGACCGCGATTAAACGTACTCAGAGGCGATGTATTAGGATTGACGCTCATAGAGCACCTTCATTACAATGAGAATGGCAATCGTTATGTTAAACGTTTCCGGAAATCTAATCAACAGATAGATTTTTCTAGAATACGCTTAAACAAAACTTTGCTTGTCTTGAACAACCCTAATTTGTACAACATATACTTTTTTTTTGCAATAGAGACGAGAAATCGATTGGAGCATAATATTTTTTTAAGAGTATGCACGCACCCCTACTCAGTAAGCGATGTCAATTAGGCGTTGAAACATGGGTTACAATTTTTATTATATACATATTTGTGTCCAAGAACCCAGTCATTTATTCGTTAGTAACCACTTTCGTTCTGATTGAGCCATTCTTTACGGAAAGAGTATTGAATCTATGAATCAACATATACGCAGGTGCAAAGAAAAAAACTGTCAGCGATAATTTGCTTTGAGTTGTAGCATCTTTTTTTTCGTAAATGAGCTATAGATTTTAGCATTCGTAATTATAATTCTTGAAAAAATATCATTCAATGTTACGGAATATCACAACCCTAGTGCGGGGGTAAGTTTACTTCTTGACCAAATATCTTATTGACATAGTAGGGCTTCAGAAACCTTTTTTTCAGTCTTGTGCAACTAAATTTATTATCGAGCATATAAAGAAGCCGTACCCGTGAAAACAAAAAGTTCAGACAAGTAGCTTGGAACTACGTTACGGCGCTCCATTTTATTATTTCTGAACAGCTAAATGCCGGTGAGAAGCAGACACACACAGCACGGCAGGACTCGAACATTCAGCTGGTTTAATCAAAATTTTTTTCAAGCTTTACATCCGCCTACCCTGCTACGGACAACACTAAAAATCTAACATATTTACGCCCATTACATAATATATCTCGGAACGCTCGGTTTTAAAAAGAAAATAAAAAAAAAAAAATTGTAGCTAAAAAAAAAAAAAAATCTGGCGTGCCAACGCACTCGTCGGGACATAAAAAAAAATAAAAACGCTTTAAGATTTTTTTTTCAGTTTGAAAAATGCGTGACCGTCGACGAGCTGTTTGTGACAACTCTGTGACAACCCCGCATGCGTTGCAGGCGCGAACAAAAGTTATAATTCACAAAACTGTTTTAATTGAAACATCGCCGCTTTGTACTATGTACGCCTGCCCACAACTTACCGAAATTTTGGAAACAATAAAAGTGGAGCCCGTTTTAAACTGAGTAACGTGCACGTGGAAACAATGACCGTGTTTTTACCTTGCCATGAAACGGTATATTTTTGACAGCTTGCAAGATTACAAGAATACAGCACACAGATAATAATTACAGCTAGCTGCTTGATGTAGAGTGAGAGCTTGTGGGGATTTCCCTGAATTTTCGATTTCCACTGCATTGGGAGTTTTCTGTTGGACTCGACATTATTTTATGTGTTTTCCAACTACAGTTATGAACGTGGAAAAAGATCTGAACAACTTTCCTTGAGACGAGTTATAGTCTTCTAAACAAATAAATACATCGGACGGTATTGGTCTTATGTAACAATTAAGTCAGCTAAGAAATGTCTGCGCTGAAGAATTATCGAGATGGAGGAACTCATTTTAGTCAGCAGTTATATAAACGTATGAATCCGTAACTTTTCGTACGATCGTCAAGGTAACATTCTCAAACAAAGGCAACCATTAAGATAATTTCTCGTATTAGAAATAATACTCATAAATATCTATACATTTCTGGCACAATATAATATTACACTCTACATTACAAAATTGTCCGTTTAAATGAGCTGCGCTCAATGCTTGAGGATTGTACAAAAAATGACAATTTTATATGTTCAAGTGTTCATGTCAAATTATTACTACAAAAAAGGTTAAATGAGTTGTCGCACTGCCTCCAATATGTGACCAACACGTTGGATTTAAGTAATATTTTTATTTGTTTGTATCAATGAATTGTATAATCTCATTTGAAAAAGTGACGCGCAATATAAATAACGAGTCAATAAATTCGATAATAAATGCCATTACGTTATGCAGTCATCTTTAACTCAAACATGTATGGCCCGGTCATGCCTTGTACATGCATTTACAGGTTACAAATAAAGGGAATAAGGGTAAACAAGATCGTAGTAATTGTGAAGCTATACTTACAACGCACGGGGTAGCATCTGTATAAGTACCCCAATATTCTGTTTTATCTTCAGAATCCCCATTCTTGCAGGTGTAAGTGCAGCCCGGCGAATATCCCGGCTAGTTCACATGAAAAAGAAATTATTCAATAAATATGTTATAAAATGAAATTATACAAAAATCAAACAAACAAGGAGAACGTTTTCATTTATATAAAACAATCTTGATGTGTATTTGCCTTAATACTTCAGTATCTAACGGAATAAGAAAGAGAGAAGTTGTTAATTAATCCACGCAAAAAAGTGCAGTGAACAGAAATGCTGAAAATAGGTACAGAGTTTAAATAAACGGCTTTTGTTTTAGACGCTCCATTCTTTTAACAATTTTAACTTTAGGCTAACAATATCTCGATTGACTTTTAACGTGCTGTTGCCATAAAGGTAAATTTGTTGTCGATATAAGGTCAGAAATTTGAATAATTATGGCATTCAGCTATTCACCTGTGCTTACTAAAGTTATTTGTACTCCATGAAAGGTTTTCGTATCCGTTGTTGAGTATTAGGCAAATGAGCTCAAAAGACCAGAAAACTATAGGACTAGCAAAATAAACAAGACATGTCTCTCTGTGCGTGAGAGAGGTGGCGAGAATCTACAAGAGGCACTGATCACGTGTGCAACGAAACGCCGCCCCCTGACGCCATTATTTGTGGTTGTTTAGCAACCACCTCGACTTTGATTTTTTCATGTCGTTCCCGGTGGTTGCAAGTTGGCAAAGAGCAACATTCTCTTTGAACTCGTTTCTGTTTCTCTTCTCGAATGCAGAGAAGAGAAACAAAAAGTTCTCAAACTATCGGCGGATTTGCGACAGCCGTAAAAACTTGCGGTGGCTTAGCTCGGCTATGCCAGGATAAACGTAGCGTGAGTATATGCGCACAAAATGAGAGGCGCGATCAAGCGGCTCCGGTGCAGCGTCAGACTTGGCTAGTGCGCAACGGAGGCGCACAGCTGTGCACGCTGCGGCGCCAGTGCGTTTGCCGCGGTTATGACGTCACTCCTCTGGAATTCGCAGACCGGCGAGGCGGGCGAGGCGGCGGCGGAGCGCGCGGCGGTGGTGGCTCCGGCGCGCCAGCTGTGCGCCAAAGTGACGTCACTGCTCCTCGCGCATGCGGAGCACTGAGCACGGCTCATTATGCGAGCAACGCAAAACTGCTCAACCTCGGCCAGTGTAGCTCACGGTTCAAAAAGACAAGGCAGCCATGAATACGGTAACAGAGAATGTGGGGGCTTAGAGCCCCGACGCAGCTGCAGCGTTTGCACAAACAGCTGACAGGCTTTTGCCGCGTATGAGAACATACGCCACCAACTGTATCTTGAAATCAGAGCTTGCGTTGTGACTTCTCTCCACTGGCGATCCAAGGAGCAGACGAACTTACTTGGCGTGTACAAACATACCCAGTAAAACAGAAGTTGTGACAAATATTTTATTCAAGAAAGAATTATCCTTTATAAAATATTGAAAAGTATTTCTAGTAATTTTAGGCACACGCGAATATGATACGTCTGCGCTGTGTTAAGCTTGCAACAGGCTATATAGCGTGAATCTCTATGCTTGTATTGGTGTAACTGAGGCTGTTCAGTTAGCTAATAGCGTTTTACTTAGGATGGCACTCATGGAGGTGCTTTTTCAAAAAATTAAAACGTGAAAATTATACATTGAAGATTTAAATGAGGTCAATGCGAGCAGACACGCTGCAATTTAGACGGGTACACTGTTTCCTGTGAACTTATGGAAGACAACAATGTTTGGGATATATCTGCTATATTTATGCATTTTCTGGAGGACAAAAAAAGGCAATGTTATGCCTCTCCTATTTGTTTAACTTTTTTTTTTTTTTAAAATACGCTTTAGCAAGAATGTTGGTGCTGTTTTTTCCGGTTTAACTAAACGAAGAAGCCATTCGGAGACAATTCTAAAAGGAACAAGACTATGCGTATTGTAAGCCCGATCACTACGAATGGTGAGAATAGGTTGAGTGATAAAAGTTATAGAGACGCAGGCATAGCCAGTTCAGAAGAGCGAAAATTCTGGTTAGAGGTGTTCTTCAATAATGATAGGGCCGGCTACCCTTATGGGGTTTCGAAATCAGTCCATATGTACAGGCCGGACGCCGGGGTGCTCGCCGGCTGCCAGGGCGCTCTGACGCCGGCTGCTCAAAATTACATGTAAAGATTAGTTATCTGAGGTTTTGAATAGTCATGATAAGATGACGTGTTATTGCATTTTGTGGTTAGCGCAAGTGACACCTTTGCATTTTGCCCGGAAATATAAATATTATCCGAATGGGCCATATCCGTTTGTAGCACAGAGGCCAAATGTAGCCCTTTTGCTCCTTGGCTAATTTTAAACTACCGGCAAAAAAACAAAAAAAAGCACCATGCGTAGGGCGTTTTAGGACGTCTGTTCTTTTGTGTGTTTCAACTATGTGTAGAGTGCTTATACATTCGTTCAGGACTTTGATGACTATCTGAACGCTGATAAAATAGGATTCTCCAGGTCCTCTAAGACTGGTGTTTATTTAATACAGAGTGTGGTATATGACAGGTACGTAACCATTTGCGTTTGGAACACAGGGACGCAAGTCAATAAGCCGACTGGCTGCCGAACGTTGAGGCGCGCTCGTCTCACTGATTGGACATAGGTGTAAGCCGAACGCCTTCCACGTGTAAATTCGTGTTAACCCAGGTGGAATCCAATATTATGTGTTCAAGCAGACGGCGGTGCTCTTTTCTGTGCAACAAGCACGCTCTGGGCCTCACAGACACAGACGCTGTTTGGTTCTCTTTTGTTGCGAGCTGGCACCTGGGTTCTATCCACGCTGCAGAGTTTCAGTTGCACTGTTATTAGCGGTGCACACCGCTTTAGCCCCTCCATTTTATTTGAAACAAATAAATTGCTGACGCTTCCACTCGCGCCAACCATTATCCCCATGTGTACACAGTTTCCTCTCAATAACGCATCACGGTCTGCGTAACTACTGCCTATGTCAAGCTAGTGAAAAAGGCAGCGGTTACAGAGGAAGGGGCATGGCATTAACGTGGGAAGTGTCACGCAATTCACCCTGCTACTTGAACCACTCTTGATTACTAATCTCGCGGTGACTGTACCTGCCAGCCCACCGTTTTTCTACCAGCCTGGATACAGATCTCCCTGTATACACCTTTGCAAAAATCGCCTTCTGTGCGCTGCCATTTTTGTTTGCTGGGCTGTGGAATACAGACCTGCCTAGATTGTTCCTTTATGGGATGCACTGGATATATGGCAGCTATAAGCTACCACACTTTGCGACCAGCTCAGCTCAGTACAGAACTTCATCTAGTTGCCAGAGGGCAACTAGGGAGGTCATGTGACGCATCAGGATCTTCTAGAGCCCACCCAATCCATCCTCCAGTTGGGGCACGGTATTACCATGGGAATACTGGATATAGATTTCCCTGTATACCGAGCTGACTGGATTGCTCCATTGCTGGATCCACTGGGTATAAGGCTTCTACAAGCCGGCCCACATTGCGGGCAGTAACACCTAGTACGCAACTTCATTGGCGCTGGCAACTAGGTGTGGGATGTGACTCGCGTCAGGATCTACAGAAGCCCGCGCGATCCGTCTTCCAGTTTAGGGACAGCATGTCGAAACTGTCAAGCGATCAACCACTCTACTTCAGGTACTCCAGTATCTATCCATGCGGTGGCCCTACCTGCCAGACCACCGCTCTTCTATCGGCCTGGATACAGATCCGTCTAATCTCAGTCAGAAATGTGGGTGAGATGCGAAAGGAATATAATTAGATTTTTCTTGCACAATTTAGAGTTGATTTTAACCCCTCAAATTTCAGAATTTCAGAATTTCAGAAAAAAATAAAAATAAGAAAGCCGAATTGTGGCAACTTTGTTTTGATTTAAAAATAAGGAACCAATTTTGGCGTCTGGTCACGAACTGAAACACAACACATTCGTGATAATAAAGGAATATACCAAATCGTCTCGGCCTTAAGCGTGGCAAGTTATTTCGATTTTACACACCCTTAGAAACCTGCTAAGATAAGCTTCTCATCAATAAGAAGCGTTACGTCAACGGTCCGGTAAAACACCACGTAATGGATCTGAGCGCATAGCTAAATGATAATAAGAAGGTCCGGAACCCACCTCCAACTTGCTGTACCAGCTAAACTAAAAAAATAGCAGCGTCATATTTTTAGTTTTGGAAGTTTTCGATGTTTCACGCGATAAAAGAAAGAGATATGCAGCTTTGTCAACGATAGTCACTCTGATATTGCTACATTTACAAAAAAAAATAAAATTGACCAAAATAGGACGTTAATGATGATGAACCTTTTTTATCAGTATACGAACCTTTTTATCAGAATATGAACTTTCTTTAAATCGCCCTTCTTCCCTACCACAATAGGCGAATAGAATAATGTTCCTAAAAATGTTTTCGAAGCAGAATTACTCACCATATATAACGACGCGCTACTCAAATTTTTCTTAGTTATTTAGTTTCCCTGTATTGCATTGGTGTGTTCTGTTTTAGTCATTTTTGTTTTGGGTTCTTTCTGCCTTGGCGTTTAAATAAAGATGCTGGCAGTATAGACAAATAAATAAATAAAGATCCCTATCTTTTATCTCGACAACAGTTTAGGTCCTTTAGCGTACGTCGTATCGCTTTTTCCTCTAACTTTTAATAACTTAGTTCCGCCTCTTGCCAGGAAAAAGGGAAAAATCTGGCAAGCCCATTAGAAACTTTCTCTATTTTGACTGTAGAATAACAAATCTTACTGAAATCTATCTCGACTTCATGTTTCTAAAAACACTGCGAGTTTGTCATGATTTATAAGACAAGGAAAAAGAAAAAGAACAAAGGAGAGATTTGTGGCAGCATGAAAAAAAGAAGAAGAATAAAGAGGCGCGAGAAGGGTTCGAAGCAATCCGACGAAGCGCGAGATTTGACGGCTGTCTTTTGGGGTTGCGGAGCTCGGGTCGGCTATGTCCCGTCCTCCAAATCGACTCCGCCAGGCTTGAACCGGTCGGCCACGTTCCGTCCTCGCGATCGACTCCGCCAAGCTTGGATCACCGCGCTCGGCATCGTCATCTTGGTCCGAAAGGCACCAGCGGGCCGGGCATCATTCTCCGACGATCTGCCCAACGACGATCCACCCGCCCATCCCATGGTGACTATACAGGGGGATGACTATTTGTGTTGACAGTGTATATCTTTACTTTTGAATGCAATATTTATTTCATTTATCCGACGCTGATCGTATTCCTGTTTTTTTCTTTTTTCTTTTTTTTCTTCTTACAGTAAAGTACGTTTGAGTTCTCCCGCTGGCTCTTGCTTCCATGATTCTCCCCGCTGGCTCTTCCCGAACGAACCTGACAAATTGGCGAGCCTGCCAGGATTCGTCTAGGCCCATGACATCCAAGTTGCGTTTTTTTCGGGAAGTGAGAGTGTTAAGGGCAAGCTCAGTCCGTTGTGTTAATATGGAGCTAGAACGAATAATCGCGTTGGGTAAGGAAGTGGGGTATACTGGTGACGAGCTAACGAAATGGGTAGCTGAAGAAAGAGTTCGGGCGGATGAAGAGAAAGCGCGCGTGAGAGCCGAGAGAGCTGAGGAACGTGATAACGTAAGGGAAGACCGGGAAGCAGCCGAAAGAGCGTTAGCTGCAGAGTGCGCTAAATTAGAAAAGGAAAGGGAGCTTCTGCAACTGAAAATCGCCGCACGTGAGATTAGTCATGAAAGTGCAGGAACTGTGGAAGACGAGAGCGGGGAAGCGCCAGGCCTAGCAATTCGAGGGAGTCCCCACAAGTTAATTCCGCAGTTCGACGAGCGGAGGGATGATCTAGACTCGTATCTACTTCGCTTCGAGCGTACAGCAACAGGGTTGAGCTGGCCTTTGGAGAAATGGGCCACCACACTAAGCTTATGCTTGACCAGGGAGGCACTGTCCGTGGTTGGCCGGATGGCACCGGCGGATGCGTTGGATTACGGAAAGGTCAAGCTAGCGCTCTTCCAAAGATTTAGGTATACTAAGGAGGGGTACCGCGAGCGGTACCCCTCCTTTACATCTTTACATTTGAATGCAATATTTATTTCATTTATCCGACGCTGATCGTATTGCTGTTTTTTTTTTTTTTTTTTTTTTTTTTCTTTTAACGGTAAAGTACGCTTGAGTTCTCCTGCTGGGTCTGGCTTCCATGATTCTCTCTCACCTTCCCGAACGAACCTGACAGAGTTAGATTTCTTGTTCCATAATCCAAATAGCGAATAAGTTATATTGGATTTTGGAGGTAATGTGTATTATCAGGATATTATTTTATATTGAAGACATGCTCTCAAAAATGGCCACCGCTTGGTCTACACAAACAACATATTTTGGTCTTGATTTTTGTTTCTTCTTTGTCTATGCCCATTTTTTCGAAACGCATGTTTTTATTCTACTTTAGTTCGTATTCGTAGAAAAATGTATTGCCGTTGCGAAGTTAATTGATGCTTATTCTAGAACCGTTCTTCCAAGTCGATGAGAGTGCCTAGATTGCCAATCAACCTTTGATCCTCTTTGTGTACGTCAGGATATACAGGATTAAACATTTTAAAACGCAAAACGCAAAGCGTATTCTAGAGAACAGTAAATAATGAAAGAAAACGTCGAGGGCGTGGTCACTGTAGCTGTACGGGCTACATTGAAGCAGAATACGTAATTTTTTCAAAGTGGGTGGACGGTATTGTATAATATATATATATATATATATATTTAGGCTGATTCTGAAATAAAAATGTAATTTATTAGAGAATGCGTTAAGAGACAGCCGTATTTGAGCGTTCAATTAATGTGAGTCACATAAAGAAAATAAATGTTTCATTTCTACCTGCTGCCAAAAGAATAACAAAAGTTATAAATTAATAACAGCAAGGCATTGCTGTCGGACGTCCAGTCTTTATTGGACTGTGCTTTTGAAACCAAAACGTCATTGGGCAAAGTAAAATCGGCTTTAAACATCATTTGATGATTGTCGCGTAAAAAAAAAAGAGAAACGAAGCATGCATAGCATTGTAAAAGAAATGTAGCAATGTTTCAAAATATCCGGAATAAAAGCATGAAGTGTAGCTTAACATTAATTATATTTTCATAAAAAAAGGGACAAGAACGCTCCAGAAGAGTATGTTTTTGTTCTATTTGGAAGTGCAAGTTGTAGAGATTAAACCGCCAAAAGAAATTACGCCATAAAGGACTGCATGCCGGTTCTTTTTCGGCGCTTTAATTCACACATCACAGTATACAGAACACAAAAATAAGTTTTAGAAATTTTTCAATGCCTATGGACTCCGATCGTTCTGTGTTACGTTTGAGATAAGAGGCAGTTTTCAGTAATAAACTCGGACTCTTAAGCCAGTTTGTTTCTAGTTTCATATTAATCCAGACAGTTAAAATAGAAGTGCGTTGAGTTTTGACACTGTACTTTACCTATGATATCTTGAACCAGATTCAGGTATTCAGAGAATACTGCTATAGTTTTGAAGTTTCTCCTAGATCCACAAATCTGCCATAAACAAGCAGTGAAGTTGCGTCTGCTAATTCCTTTTGCTCTATCGAGAGTAATAAAGTCCCATAAACGTTGTTTCTCTTTTCTATGAAAAAAAAAAAATACACCGTGGCCATACTGTTCTTTATGATAATTTTGCCGCTCAGCGTACAAGACCTCATTTTGAAAAACAGCGCGAATACCACACGGACAAGAAGGAGTAACACACAGGACGAGGCGCTGTCCTGTGTGTTCCTCCTTCTTGTCCGTGTGGTATTCGCGCTGTTTTTCAAAATTAATTCATACCAACTCGCCCAACTTTCCATTCTAGTACAAGACCTACCACAATTAAACACGAAGTTGTAGCTTACGCAGAAAACTGCGCCTAACGATATAGAAACACGACTCATTAAAACAAGAAATTGACTACACTGCGATTACTCATAGGCAGTAAGAAATCACTTACATTCTGGAAATGGTCGTCTGGACATCTCTTCAATTTAGTATCGAGGTCAGCGCACGTTATTTGACCTGCTGCGTGGAGCACAAATAGGCCAAGATATAACTTACGTGAAGCAATAATATATAATATTTGAGGGCTTACCTAGACAAGCGACGAATACAATGAAAAGACTCGCGGCCGACATTATCAGTTCTCGCAAGGAATTGAAATATAAAGAACGGTAAACTAGTGCGATATCAGCCTGAGGTACGTGCTGAGGAAAAGGCTAGCGCTGTCTCTGTCTGCAAGTGGTAGGTAATCCCCCTTTTTATATATGAGGTTGTGTGAGTTAAGACGCGTGTACCTATAACAACAATGGACAAAGAAAGCGCGTCGTTCGCCTTCAAATATGATTTGCGAAAGTGAAGAGATCTGGAATGGCTTAACGTTTTAGCACCTGCTATGCGTGATCTTACTCTGAACAATTCAGCTCGGACGCTTGGACCTGTTGAAAGGCACGACAACAATGGGTGTTTGTGAAGCTAAAGAAAATGTGCCTAAAAATCGTGCATGCTAAAAAAAAACAAAAAAACACTGTAGCAAGAGCTAGGTTGGTAAAAAGTCCTTGTGCCAAGCGAAATGCTTGTATGAGGAACTTTAACACGATTACGAAAAGAACAAAAAACATGTAGAATATACACTTTGAAATAGTACCTGTAGAAACAGCGTTCTAGAAATACCGTAAAGAAGAACATTTTTTCCTACAAAAACGGCAGAAAGGATTGATTGTTTGGTCTATTATTTTAGCCATGCTATTATCGTGGAAAATGTGCGATCAGCATTTATTGTGGAATTCATATGAATATAACCAATTCTTATATTTGCAGAATTCACAACATAAGTTTGGCAATACTGAAGCCTACGGACTTCTGTTTAAAATATTGTAATTCAAGTGCGAAGCACGTGGTGTACAGTCTCCCTCAAACATAATGCTCTAACGGACCCCCTACACTATTTAGCAGTTTTCCGCAAGTCGGGAATTGACCCGTCGGCGGAGAAGCTGTTCTTGCTATCCTGTTTGGAACAGTGACCAATGTCTTAGATTGTAACCGCGTACGGGGGTGGCTATTAAAATAGCGGCAAACACGACTCATGCGGGCTAACAAATGGCGGCAGTTAGTCAAAAAGCTACTTTATTTTCTATGTGAAATGTAAGAACTACTGAAAGAGTTACTTGTCCAACGAACTTAGTGAGAAAAAGAAATCACAAAAACATGCATTTAAGGTAAAGGGGGCAACACAATACCGTCTAAAAACTCGGCTGCAAATTTTATTTTGATGTGTCTCCTTTGCACAGGGCGTCTTTGTAAGATGAACAGGATTGTTTTAAAATGATCCTTGAAAGTTACATTTATGCGGTTTGTGCAGGCGTGTTATAGGGCCAGGGTAACATGATATGAAGGCGAATCGTAGCGATCTGTCGGCTAATTAGGTGAAATTTGTTAGTTAACTTGTAACTAGTGAAAATAGACACATGGTTCCAATAAAAATAAACTAGCTGAGCGGCATCAAAATCCACTATATCAATAGTTTTGAGATAGATTTTGAGCGGGCGAGAAGCGCAGTTCTGCGCTAAAGTAATCGTTCGTGCAGCAGGATCACAGCTGCCGGAGCGATGACGTGCCTTCGCGACGTTTTCCGCTTCTTATCATACCTTGGTACGTACCTGTAGCAGAAGTAAGAAGCCTTGGTACCTGTTGCAGAAGTAGTACCTTTAGTGCTCTACTACGCTTCCCACGCGCTCAAATTATTTCTAGAATTGATTTATTTAGTGGTTTTCGATGACGCTTAGGGAGTTTTTATTTGAACTATGCCTATAGACTTTTCTATCTCTGTAGTTACCTGAGCGGTGGACAGAGGGCGTTGACACATAACGTGGCTTCAATTTGGTTGGTTTCGATTTCGACGGACTTAAGGCCGTGTTGGTGTATTATGTCGTCTTGGCTTAGCTTTGTAAGATATATGTGCCCCTTGTTGTACACAACTAATGATACAGTGGCAATGGCCCACCTTGTGAACAAGAAACGTTGTTAAGAGCCTAAATTCTGGACGTTCTTACGAACACCTTTATTTGAATATGTAGTTTGTTTGGTCATATTCGGCGGTGAAAGAACTGGCATAATGCAGGGGGAAGGCTACGAACGCCTGCGGCCGTACTGGACGTGTCTGCTGATACCTGTTTTCAAAAAAATAAACTAAGACTAGTATATGGAGGCACAGACATAATGTAGGTTAACAACCTGACTAACAATGTGCTGAATCACAGAGAACAGGTGAACTGACAAGTTTAGCGCCCACTGTTCTTTTTTTGAGGACGCCAAGATTTTGTTAAAATTGCCGTTAGGGAAATCCTCTTGTAATTACGATGGAAGGCAAAAAGGAAGCGATATTGCCACGCGCATCGCCGACCGAGCTGGTGCGTGGCCGAATCTCCGAAACTATCGAACATAGCTTTCTGTAGTGCTGGGATAAAGTGTTTCTTTTTTTAGATGTCGTGCAACGAACATTAACAGAAGACCTACGCCGAACACCCCATTCTATCCGTTTTCTACCCATCGGGGCAAACGAGAATCTTCCGCTAGATATGATTATGGTTGTTGGGTAGTTTAGCGTGTGGAAAGTCGCGGATGACGGTGAGACACGCAGAACAATTGCCCAGGTCAGTGCGTATTTTCTTTACTGATTATGTTGTACAGTTAAATAGTGTTAACGGAGAGAGCGAATACCTGCCTCAGTGGATTGGAGTGTATGATAGCCTCTCACGTATGAAGGAACTTTAATCACCGCCGCCCATGTGCACTGTGCTTCCTCATTTTAGAAGTGTAAATAATGCGTAAATACATCCAGGCATAAGTTCGTATTCCGAATAAAGATAATTAAAAAAAATGGTACGTGGCAAAATGGATTCAGCGCTTGTCTTTTGCGCGGAGGCCCTAGGTTCGATCCCAGGGGAAAGGACGATTCTTTTATTTATTTTTTTCAATTCAGAGTTCTCGTAAGTTGGAGAATCTTGCCGTCTGATCGAATTACAGATGTTCTACGGGTCCAGCGTTATACGCCGAATGTTCCAGACACCCTTTAGGGTACAAAAGGTGCTCCGCGTGGCGATCGGGAGTCAGTCTTTCGACTGCGCTTGTTCCTGTTGCTACGCCAGCATCGACGACTTATTTCCGCTAAGGTTTATTTTGTCTTGGCACAAGTTGGCCCCTTAAACATTTGCAGCCGTATTCACCAGTCGTGACTAACTAGAGCTGTTTTAAAATTAGTATCGCGTCTAAGTAGTGGCGAACTAAGAGAACAAATCAGCGACTAAGGATCCACTAGTTCTGCGGTGTTCACGAGCACGAAGTGAGCGCGTGACTATCTAGTCAGAACTAACAAGCGGAAGTGACATAAAAAGATGGGTCACGCTTACATGTACTTAACCGTCGCTGCGTAAATGGGTATTTTATCGGATCAAAACTAATATTTAAATGTATATCAGGAAAAAAAAAAAGTTACAACGAGAGTAATTGTTCGAGAGAGGGGTTTACAAAGAAGAAGTTAAGAAAACGCAAAGGAGAAACACGGCAGCCGCATTGCCAGCGACATAAACAAGTATGGAAGCGACCGTAAGTGCGTTTCTTCATCGTCATCCAGCGCCTTGCTGAGATCTTTTTAGCGGTGTTTCTGACCGTTCAAGATGGATATTTACACAATATTTGCTCCTCACATTCATTCTGCATGTGTTCCCCAGCGTTCCGAGACAGGGAGTGTTTCGTTACCGCTGGCGGTCAGCGGTGATACGAGTCGGCCATGCCGTTGAGCCGTTAGTCACCCGCTAAACACGGGCAAAAACTAGCCTTACCCCATGATTAAGATTTGCTAGTCGACTTCTTAGTCGCGTGGGGCGACTAGGCCCTAAACACGACCGCTGAACACCAATCGCTCACTTAGCGGCGACTATCGCTCGCCACGTGATCATTTTAGTCGATGACGTCGCTAGTCAGTGGTTAAACAGGCGCTACTCCCGCTTGGTGAATACGGGTGTCAGTTTTATTCAGTGATTCGTCGCCTCATCGATCGTCAATCGTTTCAATATTGTTTCATTCTGTTTCTTTAAAGCTTCCACGAAACAATTTTTCTATTTGCGCTAAATACTACTTAGAATCACTCTCCAACCTTACGAACTGAAAAAAAAAAAAAATTGCCTTAGTTTTTCTTTCTATGCGATGGCAGTTGCTAAAAAAATGCGAGCAATATGAGCGTCGCTCGTCCACTGAACTCGAAGCCCAAGCTCGCGGCCACGTGGCCTGGTGCCTTTCGAAAGTCACGTGCCAATTTATAAAAATAAATCAGATCTACTGCACAATGGTGAAACACCTGACAGCATTGAACATGCAAGTAGAGCGGGCGGGTAGCGTGGACTTGTGTTGCCAGTGCACGAGGATTCGTAATCCGGGACGCATTCGAACCCAAAGAGCTCTCCCTGTTGTATGCCATTGCGCAGGAATTACACAGCATCCAGTAAAAGGCCAAAAGGGGTCTATCATTCTCACGCGCTGGGGTTGGCAAAGTAGAAAACGCGCGATGAGCTCCAGGCATTGATAGAGTTCGGCTATTCTCATCACCGCCCTAGTTAAGCACGAGCTACTCACTACCCGAGTATCCACCGAGGCTTTCATTGTTGCGAGCCGAAACCGAGTGCTTATGCAGTTCTCGTGCCCAAACCATGAGCCGTGCTCGACTGTCGTCAGACGGATGGTTTCGGTCCCACAGTTACGTTATTAAGCTTTGCGAAGGCAGGCCCGAGAGAAATAGTCCCCTTTTTTCCTCGCAATTTCATCGCAACAAAGAAGCTTCTGAATCAGTGGCGGTCTGTGCGAGTACACTTGAGCCAGATTAGGACCAGCACGCCTCAGCAAAGTAAGTAATATTCTGACTTGATATCGTTTCATGACCCCTTCATCGAAGTTAAGCACTCGAGAGATGATTTAATGGTCCATCCTAGGCCGCGTAGGAAATTGTTTCCAAGCATCAGCCCGGCTAGATTATTTATTATCAGTATTTTACAAGGCTCAAATCTCAGGAAACTATTTGTTGTACGAACGTTTCCTTAAAACGTATTGCGAATGTGAGATGAGGGACAAACCCGTCAACTGAAGT